GAGACATAAACAGCGTCCGAGAATAAGGCTTTGGGCAACAAGTTAAAGTAAAATTTAAAATTTAAAATTTAAAAAAAATCCATCTCCAACTTCAGCTACTAGCAAAGGCAAAAAAGCCTGGAATAGTATATAGGCGAAAGCCGTGCTACCAAGTAAGTAAGTAAGTAAATTTGTTAATCCGATTTTAAGAACAATTCTGATGGTAAAAATATTTATATGAGTCAAGCAGTTTATTATTTAGAATTTTTTTTTAAATTCAATATTCTTTGGTAAAATTAATTTGGAATGCAATAACATTTCTTAAATTATTTACTTATCATAAAATATTAACGATTTTTGTCATACGATGAATTAGCATAATTTTTTTTTTTTTGTTAGGTCTTTATATTACATCCTGTATATAATAGTGAATTATTTATATAACTATTATACATTGATTTTAGCTAATTATAGTTAAAAGATTTAAAGGTTAAAAACTCCATCTCGTGGTTCTATCCTAGATGTACTGTAATGGATTTACATCTTATAATAGTTTTAATTTTTTGTAAGTTCGGTACACTTTAGTTCTCCCGATCCTATTAAAGGTAAAAATTAATTCATATCATTATCTATTAAGATCAATAATAACTCGAGTCTTATTAAATTTTTCAATTACAAAATCAAATCTGAAGAATATAATAGAAAAATATTAAAATAACGCTATTATAACTTAGTTATGGCATTATAGTCTGTTCTTTCTGTTACGTCATGTAGGTATAGTGTATATTATATCAAGAAAATCTGACTTGTTGAAATTTGTTTTAGCTAAAATATTGTCAGATTTTCCCAATACATTTGTAGCTATATAGTACCTATATGCGTTTATTTACAGATGGTTTCGTCAAAATACACGCAACTTTTTTTCAAAAATTCACAATCGCTTAAAATTTTTAAATACCTACACTTAAACGCCGMATTTTTGAAATTTTTTATAATGCTTACGGAGATRTAGTTGAGATTTATGTATGGATACAAACTTCTATTTTTTTTTTAAGTTTTAATTAGAACCCCTCTTCCCTTGTCTACTGAAATTTAATTTTTATACTTGRACCAGTTTTACAAATTATTAATTTTGGTGGATTGAATCACTAAATTCTCCACTATAGCTTCCATAACATCCAAACCCATTACTGTCAATAATAACATTGAAAGTTTTTATTAAATTATTAAATTAAGAAGATTTGATTATTTGGAAACGTTTCAAATGTTTAATTTATGTAATGGTTTAGAAACACCAATAAATTGTTTAAGGAATACCTAGTACCTAAGACGTATTCGGCTCAAAAAGTACTATAATCGAAACGTACAGGTCAATAAAGTATGGATAAAAATCATACCACCAATTGTCCACCATAGCCGCTGTTTATTCAAACATTTCAAACTATGCAATTCGTACGATTAGTATTTGTTATCGGGGGAAAATTAATAACTAATAATAATATATTATAATAATCTTGGCACGTCTCAAAAGGTTAGGTTAAACAAGCGCTCAACTGTTTATCGTTGACGTGTGCCCTACGGTTACTAATGATAATTCAAATGCATATCTATCAATTGATTTAAACCGACTAGAGGCAGTTACTGTCGATAGTAACATAGAAATTGAAAATACGTGATTAGTGGCAAACGTTTGGAATGTTTAATTAAAGWATAAGTTTAAAAWCGTCAAAAGTTTGTTCAARGAAATACATCGTATTTCATCTCACATAATCAAAATTGCATCAGGGAGTTTTWWWAATTTAGTGGCCCTGAAAAGGGCCTTTTTACARGYGTTGAATATTAATAAGCAGCAAKAGTTTAAGCACGTTCACCACGGATACGACGAGCCAACTGGATGTCTTTAGGCATGATCGTGACACGTTTGGCGTGAATGGCGCACAGATTGGTGTCCTCGAACAGACCGACCAAGTAAGCTTCGCTGGCCTCTTGCAAAGCCATGACGGCGGAACTCTGGAAACGCAGGTCGGTCTTGAAATCCTGTGCGATTTCACGCACCAAACGTTGGAACGGCAATTTGCGGATCAACAGCT